GCTGGGACTACAGGCGCCCAACACGCCCGGCTAATTCGTGATGTAATATTTTAACATTTAAATTTTAGTCCATTTGGAAATTATTGTGGTGCTCAAAACGGGCTTCATTCCGTTTTTTTTTTTTCCTTCTTTTTCGAGGCATAGTCTCGCTCTGTTACCCAGGCTGGAGTGCAGTGGCGCAATCTCGGCTGGCTGCAACCTCTGCCTCCCGGGTTCAAGTGATTCTCCCGCCTCAGCCTCCCCAGTAGCTGGGATTACAGGCGCGCGCGATAGTAGAGACGGTCTTTCACCAGGTTGGCCAGGAGTCTGGAACTCCTGACCTCAAGTGATCCACTCGCTTTGGCCTCCCAAAGTGCTGAGATTACAGGTGTGAGACACCTCGCTCGACTGGTTCAATTTTCTAAATTACTAAAAAAGCTGCCTGACCCCAATTCACCTTTCTAATGCTGATTTGAAATTCAGTACCACCTTCCCTATATAATAAATCCCTATATATAACTGGCTCTTATTCTGAGTTCTAATATATTCTATCTGCCTGTAATGTAAGCTCCTGCTGAGTTCCAAACTTTCTTTTTTAAAAATTTATTTATTTTTTTTCAGAGATAGAGTTTCCCTTTGATGCCCATGCTGGTCTCTGACTCCTGGGCTCAAGGGATCCTCCCGCCTCAGTCTACCAAGTAGCCAGGACTACGGGCCCACACTGCTGCCCCCATCTTCTAAGTAGTTTAATTGCTATACCTTTATGTTATAATATCTAGTGGCTCTGGAGAGCTAATTTCCCTTATTACCATTAATTTTAGAATTTTCCTGGCTACTTTCACATATTTCTTCTTCTTTAAGCACTTTAACATCATTTTGTCCAGTTGAAAAACTGCCCCCTCCATGATCCCACTAATGTGACACATCTATTTTTTTTGTTCGGTTAGTTCAGCCCCTGGTGAGAGTAGCAGGTCTGCGTTCCTGCACTGTCAGACTTAGCTAGAAATGCATTTCCTTAATAATACTATAAGGCCTTTAAAACTGTAAAAATAACGAATATTTGGGTAACGCTGCACAACCATTCTCTCGCTTTCTCTTCAATAACATTACCAGTCAAATCAGTATTTCCCACATGAATACTGAGGGATCGCAGCCACGACAGAAGAGAGATTAAGACTTTACGATTCCTCTTCCGATGCTCTTTCATAGTCAGCGGAACGACTAAAAAAGCCGCATCACCCGAGGCCCTGCAGATGGGCGCCCAGCCAGAGCGCCAGGACCCCGGGCTACGTCCGCGCCCACAGTTTACTTCACCCCGGTGGACCCTGGATGTTCTATGACTGGCCCAGCGGCCTCGAAGAGTGTGTCGAGGCCCTCGCCAGCTCCCAGGCCGCCCCACCGCCCCAGCCGGCCCACCACTGTTGGAGCCCTTTACCTGACGCCCAGCGACCACCGGTCACCTGACGCCGCCCAGCATCCCGCGGCCAGGTATCCAAGGCCGCTTAGTAACCGGGGAGGAGCGGCGTTGCGCCGGGAGGCGTGGCCCAGGACGGAGCGCTAGCTCCGGCCGACGTGATGACGACAGCACGGAAGGCGCCTCTCCGTCGCAGGCGCCAGGGGTGTTGGGTAGGGAGGGTGGCTGGTGTGGGACTGTACCATTTGGTGCACGAGGGGCAAAGCCAAAAACAAGGAGAATTAACTTTTCACTAAAAATAAACCCATTTAATTTTGTTATTTAATATTAATTACGACTAAAGACTAATAACAACGGTAGGACCCAAGTGCCCAAACTTCGCTCCACCCACAGGGAGGAGAATAGTGAAGGCTTCCAGCGAGGGGGTTGGAGAATGCCCCAGCCTGGATTCCCGAGGCACAGGCGCAGAGCGGAGCCAGGCGAGGGCGGGGCCGGGCGGAGGGCTGGGCCGGACTATCAGGAACTACTTACCGGAAAAGGGTGAGCTGTTTTAGTGTTGAGAATGATAACACCGGGTAATTCTGCTTTATGAACTCCGCATCTTCGCTCGCCGTGGTGCTAGGCATGAGCGCCGGCGGTGAGCCCGCAGCCCTTTGGGCGAGGAGTTAGAACTTGAACAGATTGTACAAAAATGTGAAAACTATGAACTGTATTAGGGAGTCTGACGACAAAGCTCGTCAAAAAGGCGCCCCTGTTGGGCAGAGTTTTGAAGAAAGAGTGGTATTTATTAAGGCAAAGGCTGGGGAAGGGCGTTCCGGGCAGAAAGAACTGCTTGTGCAAAGAGCATCACCAAAACAGGTTGCCCTGCCATCGCCATTAAGGTGGGAAACCAGAAGCCTGCAACTACCAGCAGGCCACCCGACTACCCAGGAAAGCGCTCTGTGCCTGCCTTTAGAGGTGTGTGGATTTGTGAACAACGCTGCAGCAGCCTGGAAGACCCAAACTGAAGATTGCAGAGAGCTGTGACAGTTTTTATTTACATTTATGTTTGTCTTCGAGTTTAGGATATTAAAACACACAACTCTTGTTGCTTTTCACAGTTTCTGTCACTGGAAATTTTAAAAGTGGAGACGGGCCGGACGCAGCGGCTCTCTCCTGTAATCCCAGCACTTGGGAGGCCGAGGCAGGTGGATCTCTTGATCCCAGGAGTTCGAGACCAGCCTGGGCAACATGGCGAAACCCGGTATCTACTAAAAATACGAAAAATTAGCTGGGCGTGGTGGCGCGCGCCTGTAGTCCCAGCTGAGTGGGAGACTGAGGTGGGAGGATTGATTGATCCTAGGAGACTGAGGCTGCAGTGAGCCGGCATGGTGCCACCGCACTCTAGCCTAGGCAACACAGTGAATCCTTGTCTCAAAAAAAGAAAAAAAAAGTGGAGAAGGGGTGATATGTGAATTCTCTGTGTCAGATGAAGTGGCTCATGCCTGTAATCCTAGCACTTTGGGAGGCTAAATTGGGAGGACTGCTTGAGGCCAGGAGTTTGAGACCTGGGTAACAGTAACACCTTTTCTCTCCAATAATAATAGTAATAAGGAAGGAGACCACTACTGCTGCTGCCCTCCTCCCCTCACCTTGCCTAGTTCACAAGACAGGAGGAAAGAGAGGAAGAAACAAAAGTAAGATAAATAGCCAGACAACCTTGGCACTACCATCTGGCCCTAGGAGTTAAACAAAGTAATAATAACATCAACCCCTGACCTAAACTACTTATCTGTAAATTTCAGACACTGTAGGAAAAAAGCATTGTAAAACTTTCTGTTCTGTTAGCTGATGCATGTAGCCCCCCAGTCACATTTCCCACGCTTGCTTGATTTATCACGACCCTTTTCACGTGGACCCCTTAAAGTTGTAAGCCTTCAAAAAGGCCGGGTATTTCTTTCTCGGAGAGCTCGGCTCTTAAGACGCGAGTCTGCCGACGCTCCCGGCCGAATAAAAAACCTCTTCCTTCTTTCTTTCTTTCTTTATTTATTTTTTAAATTTTTATTTATTTATTTTTTTAAGATGGAGTCTCGCTCTGTCGCCCAGGCTGGAGTGCAGTGGCGCGATCTCCACTCACTGCAAGCTCCGCCTCCTGGGTTCACGCCATTCTCCTACCTCAGCCTCCCGTGTAGCTGGGACTACAGGCGCCCGCCACCGCGTCGGGCTGATTTTTGTGTTTTTAGTAGAGACGGGGTTTCACTGTGCTAGTCAGGATGGTCTCGATCTCCTGACCTCGTGATCCGCCCGTCTCGGCCTCCCAAAGTGCTGGGATTACAGGCGTGAGCCACCGCGCCCCGCGGTCTTCCTTCTTTAATCCGGTGTCTGAGGAGTTTTGTCTGTGGCTCATCCTGCTACAGTAATAATAAATAAAAAAAGAAAATTAGCCAGGCATGGTGGCAACCACATGTAGTCTTAGCTACTTGGGAGGCTGAGGTGGGAAGATCGCTGGAGCCCAGGAGTTCAGGCTGCGGTGAGCCATGATCACTGCACTGCACCCCAGCCTAGGCAACAGAGTGAGATGCTGTCTCTTTAGAAAAAAAAAAAAAAGAGAGTTCTGTTCTTGGGGATGCTGTATTTTGGTGCAAAATTGGGTGAATACAGTTTGCAGTTAGGGTAATAATGGAAATGAAGTATTCTCACTGAAAAGAGAGTAGGCCATCCCATTTGAAGGCTGGGACAAATCTTGGGATCTTTCTGCCTGATATGCAGTCTGTGTTTGCTACAGCACCTGCCCAGAGCATTTCTCCCACTGTTAGAGATTGTAGAAAGACTAAGAGTTTTGGCCAGGCGCAGTGGTTCACACCTGTAATCCCAGCATTTTGGGAGGCCAAGGCGGGTGGATCACTTGAGGTCAAGAATTCGAGACCAGCCTGGCCAACATGGTGAAACCCCATCTCTACAAAAAAAAAAAAAAAAAAAAAAATTAGCCGGGTGTGGTGGTGGGCGCCTGTAATCCCAGCTTCCCAGCTGCTTGGGAGACTGAGGCAGGAGAATCACTTGAACCCAGGAGGCAGAGGTTGCAGTGAGCTGAGATCGCACCATTGCACTCTAGCCTGGGCAACAAGAGTGTAACTCCGTCCCTGCTCCCCCGCCAAAAAAAAAAGGCAAGAGTAAGACTTTTAGAATCAGTAGTGACTGTCACCAAGTTCAGTTCCTTGCTGTGACTTGTACCAGCTGGGTGACCTTGGGCAGTTTTCATAATTTCTGAGCAAATGTATCCTATCTGTGAAGTCAATATATTTTTTTGTTGTTGTTGTTGCCGAGACAGAGTCTTGCTCTGCTGCCCAGGCCGGAGTGCAATGGCATGATCTCAGCTCACTGCAACCTCCGCTTCCTGGGTTCAAGCATTTCTCCTGCCTTAGCGTCCCAGGTAGCTGGGATTACAGGTGCCCGCCACCATGCCTGGCTGATTTTTGTATTCTTAGTAGAGACAGGGTTTCACCATTTTGGCTAGGCTGGTCTTGAACTCTTGACCTCGTGAATCGCCCACCTTGGCCTCCCAGAGTGCTGGGATTACAGGCGTGAGCCACCGCGCCTGGCCTGAAGTTACTAATTTCTAAATGCTGGCTTATAGTGAGGATCGTAGATAATGCATATACAACTTGGAATGTGCTCCATAAACATAGGTTGTAGCATGTTCCATTCAACAGTATAGTTTTTCTTCGTGTTTATTTTTTATCCTGATGAAAATAATTGTGCTTTTACAATCTCAGAACAGATAGAACCATTATGTGTTTCACCGTCCATAGCTGATTGCGTGCTTCTGACACTACTATTACGTTTCTGATCATTATACGCTTGTCTTTTGCTTTGGGAAGTTAGGGGGATTTTGACCTCTCCCTCATCTTGTCCCACATCTGTCAATTAACTGGCACTATCAAGATGGAAATCAGTACGTTTCTTTCAGTGTTCTTAGCACATGTGAAAGCTTAACATGAGCTCTTCCTGACCCAGTTTTGATCTCTAATAGCTCAGTGTCATTGGTGTTTTTTCTGTGGTCTCCCAGACTTGTCCCCCATGATTCCTGGGGTAGGGGGCTGGGTGGTCAAGACTTGAGGAAGAGAAAGAGTGGGATTGAATTAAGAGGAAAAGGCAATAAAATCACCAGCACACACTGATCCAAGAAAGTTCCTTCCCTTGTCTCCTAACCAAAAAGCTAATAAGGCCACTCAGGAGTATGAACCACACATTGTAAAAAACAAACATCTTTTCTTATTTATTTATTTATTTATTAATAAGACAGAGTCACACTCTGTCGCCCAGGTTGGAGTGCAGTGGCACGATCTCGGCTCACTGCAACCTCCGCCTCCCAGGTTCAAGTGATTCTTGTGTCTCCGCCTCCCGAGTAGCTGGGACTACCAGCATGTGCCACCACGCTCAGCTAATTTTTTGTATTTTTAGTAGAGACGGGGTTTCACCATATGGGCCAGGCTGGTCTACAAACTCCTGACCTCGGCCTCCCAAAGTGCTGGTATTATAGGCGTGAGCCACCGCGCCCAGCCAAAACGAACCACTTTTCCACTGAAGGAAGCACAGTCCATCCCACAAGTGTTCTGAATTTATGAGGTGTTACAGCTCACGTTCTGTCTGATCAGAATTACCTTTAGAAATGACTAATCTTGGCCGGACGCGGTGGCTCATGCCTATAATCCCAGCACTTTGGGAGGCCAAGGTGGGCGGATCATCTGAGGTCGGCAGTTCGAGACCAGCCTGACCAACATGGAGAAACCCTGTCTCTACTAAAAATACAAAATTAGCCAGGTGTGGCGGCACATGCCTGTAAACCCAGCTACTCAGGAGGCTGAGGCAGGAGAATTGCTTGAACTTAGGAGGCGGAGGCTGCAGTGAGTCGAGATTGTGCCACTGCACTCCAGCCTGGGCAACAAGAGCGAAACTCGGTCTCAAAAAAAAAAAAAAGAAAAGAAAAAGAAAAGAAAAGGAAATGACTAATATTGAACATATGGAGCTCCATGGTGGCAAGGAAGTTCTAGGCATCAGTTCTGCAGCAGCCTCCAGCTCTGACCAGCTCTGAGCTCCCCTATGTGCAGTGGAGCATGGCACGAACCTGGCAGCCAGCCTCAGACCAGGAGCGGCATCCCATTCAATGTCTCCTCTTCAAGACCCCATTTCTCACACGTGGCTTGTTCCAGCCAACTTTTGACTTAGCTCCTCACTAGAGATTTTGGCAGTCATTCTGCCTGGACCTAGTAGCCAGAGCGAGAAGCAGACCCACAAAAGTTCAATGTGAGAGCCCTGGAGCCAGCTTGTAGGGCTCCAAGTCCCAGCTCCGGCCTTTATTAGTTATGTGACCTTCAGGCAAGGAACAACTTATCTGACTCTGCATCTTCACTGGTAAAAAGGGGATAGTAATAATTCCTACCTCAGGGTTGTTTGGATGGAAAATTTGTAATAGACATGAAAGAGTCTAGCACAGCAACTAGCCCAGCATAGGCAGGCGATCTAAAGCTAACTTTGGCCAATTAAGCAAAAAAGGACTGTGTTAAAAAGGATCAGAAGTTCTCAGATCATTTGGAAAGCTAGATAAGACTTGAGGCTTGGGCAGGTGCAGTGGCTCATGCCTGTAATCCCAGCACTTTGGGAGGCTGAGGTGGGAGGATCACTTGAGGTCAGGAGTTCGAGAACAGCCTGGCCAAAATAGCGAAACCCTGTCTCTGCTAAGAATACAAACAATAATTAGCCAGGTGTGATGGCGCATGCCTATAGTTCCACCTACTAGGGAGGCTGAGGCAGGAGAATCACTTGAACCCGGGAGGCGGAGGTTGCAGTGAGCTGACATAGCACCACTATACTCCAGCCTGGGCAACAGAGCAAGACTGTCTGAAAAAAAAAAAGACTTGAGGCTTCCAGGAATGACATTGCAGGGCTGGTCTGATGGCGTTGTTGCCATTGAGCACCAACTGCTACAGTTTGCATCCTTGCCACTTCTACACCAGGAACTCAATTTTGTGGATACTGCTGCCACAGTTACCACACAAAAGAGCACTCCTGATTCCTTTCCTGAGTCAAAGTGTGGCATGGGTGCATCCCTGGTCCCCATGCCTGGCCCTGGCTAAGGGGAGGCTGGGAAAGTCGGTGTCTAGCATTTTCAGCTAAAAATACAAAATTAGCCAGGCGTGGTGGTGCATGCCTGTAATCCCAGCTACTCAGGAGGCTGAGGCAGGAGAATTGCTGGAACCTAAGTGGAGGTAGTTATTGCCCCCCATTAAGTCTCATAAAACAGGGGATTCCCTGGAGACAAGAAGGGGTTCAGATACCAGGCACCCAGACCCAATAACAAATGTCCAATATTACCCGCAACAAAGACAGATATCATCAACATAGAACAATTAGAGATATTGATACCCGATAAGCTTGTTACATCTCTGTCATTTTACACATTGAGATCAAAATCCAAACACCAGGAGGCCCTCTGGTAAAGCGTGCTGGCTGCCTACCCAACATTCTCCCCTTCTCCCTTAGTGTCAGAACCCCTTTGTTATAAGGGATAGTCACGTACCCAGCAAATAAGCCACATCTCCCAGCCTCCATTCCAGGTAGGGGTGGGTGGTTAGTGAGATGGAAGCAGAGGGAAAGCTCTTTAAAAGCACCCTTTGCTCTTCTCCCCCTTTCCTCTGTTTTCCTTTCCCCAAACACAAAATTGGCAGCTAGAGCTCCAGTAACCATCTTGTAGCAAACCTAACATTGGAAGCCATTTGTCAAGGTTGGCAGGGCAGAAATACAGCCTCTGAGTAGCTGATGACCTGTCCTGCCAGCCCTGGACTCCGTAACGTTATTTTTCTTTTATGTGGTGGAAAAAATAAACCTGCTTCTCATTTAAGCCATTGTTACTTTGAGTCGCTCTTCCTAGCAGCTGAAGGTAATTCCTTACTAATACCAGCCGGCCTCAGTAGTTTCACAGGTGCTTCTCTTCTAGCAATCCAGGATGTCATCATCCTCTGGCGCGTAAGAAAATCCCAGAAATGCACTTGAGGCCCCAGAGCTGCTGGCCACAGTGTCAGGGGTACAGCCAATGGACTTGGACACAGCTTCCTGGGTGAACTCTGGGTCAAAATGCTTCAAGTCAGCAGGTCCTGCCTGTCAATGAAAGCCAACGATGAGAAGAAAACACCGGGGTCAGAGCTGCCAAAGGAGCCCAAATCCTCAGGGATGTCAGGCCTCTGTGAGTGCCCCATGCTTCCTAGTCATCCATACTTGACTGTCACTTTCCTGTGCATTTACAGTGATCATTTTATCCTCTCACCTCCTGGTATTCTGCCTCTACACCAATCCTTAGACGAGTTAGTTAATCAATATATACTTACTGAATGCCTACCAGGTACTGTTCATGGCGCTGGGAACACAGGAGAACAAGGCAAAGTGAGCCCCTGTATTCATGGAGCTTACACTGTGTAGGGGGTAGGAGGATTGATAATAAGCATGTGTACAAATAGATAACTTAGGATGGTGACAGGTCCTGTGAAGAAGATAAAATAGGATAATATGGTGGAGATTGGGGCTGCTTTAGCTATTTTGGAGGAAGACCTGTGAGGGAGATTACAAAAATGATCACAAATTCTCCATTTCCCATCTAGAGGTGGAGTCTATTTCTCCATTCCTTTAATGTAAGTTAGCCATATGACTTGGTTAGGCCAATGGGACATTACCAAATATGACACAAGCAGAGGCTTGAGAAATGTACATCAGAAGTTGCTCTCTTGCTGTACTTCTAACCCTGAGGCCACCATGTGAACAGCCCCAGACTAGCCTGCTGGAGCATGAGAGGCTTCGTGAAGAACTCAGTTGCCCTGGCTGCCTGCCAACTCCCAGGCATGGGAGTGAGGCAATTGTAGATCAACAACTGCCAACTGTCCCGCTAGCTGACCACAGACGTGAGAGAGCTCCACAGAGACCAGCTGGCCTGGCTCAGACTGAAAAAAAAAAACACATAGAATCCGAACAAAATAATTTTTTTTTAAGAGACAAGGTCTTTTTTGCCGTGTCACCCAGGATGGAGTGCACTGGCATGATCACAGCTCACTACAGCTTCGACATCCCACCTCAGCCTCCTGCTGGGACTACAGGCATGCAGCACCACACCTGGCTAATTTTCTATTTTTCTATAAAGATGGGGTCTCGCCATGTTGCCCAGGCTGGTCTTGAACTCCTGGCCTCAAGCAATGGTAATGGCTCGGCCTCACAAAGTGCTGGGGTTACAGCATGCCTGGCCAAAAGATTGTGTTTTAAACCACCTAGCTCTGGAGTTGCTTGTTATGCACCAAGAGCTAACCAATACAGTCTCTCCGAGGAGGAGGCCTCAGTTTTATAAAGTAAGCAGCCGAGGAAGGGGAAGGGCTTGCAAATCTTCTTTAGTGTGCAAGTTGGGCTATGGAGCCAAACAGATCAGTTTCCAGCTTCTCAATAAGGCTACAAGACAAGGTAGTCCCAGCCCAGCACTCAGAGTTCCAAGATCAGAATATGTATCCTGGCCCTTATTAGTTGTGTGACCCTAGAAGAAAATGATACTAAAGAAACTTACTGAAGACCTCACAAATGGTAGGTGGCAAAACCAGGAATCCAGCTTTGGAGTGTCTCATTCTAAAGTCCATGCATCTGTGCCTGGCATTCCATGTATGATTCTCTCTCCAGGGTATCAGTTTACATTGTCTTTACTGTCTTTTTAAAATTCCAAGGAAAAGAAGCTTTTCTGGTGCCTGGCCTGAGTGTATCCTATCTGATCCAGTGCCCAAAGACAAGTTCATGAATAGGTAATTCACGAAAGGAGAAATGTAAATGGTGAATTAACATTGGCAGTGTTTCGTATGCAGGCTGTTTCGATGGAAGGGGCTTGGCACCACGCTTTACAGGTAGACCACACAGCCTCAAATGCCCACCTCCAATAGGGCTCCTTTCATTCACACTGCTACTACCAATTAACATTGCAAAACCAGCACTTTGGGAGGCCAAGGCGGGAGGATCACTTGAGGTCAGGAGTTCGAGACCAGCCTGGCCAACATGGTGAAACTCTGTTTCTACTGAAAATACAACAACAAAAAAATTAGCCAAGCGTGGTGCTAAACGCCTGTAGTCCCAGGTACTCGGAAGGCTGGGGCACGAGAATTGCTTGAACTTGCAGAGCTAGAGGTTGCAGTGAGCTGAGATCGTGCCACTGCACTTCAGCCTGGGCAACAGAGCAAGACTCCATCTCAAAAATATAAAAAATAAAAGCCAGGCACGGTGGCTCATGCCTGTAATCCCAGCACTTTGGGAGGCTATGGTGGTCAGATCACTTGAGGTCAGGAGTTCAAGACCAGCCTGGCCAATGTGGCAAAACACCATCTCTACTAAAAATACAAAAATTAGCCAGGTGTGGTAGCACATGCCTATAGTCCCAGTCACTCAGGAAGCTGAGGCAGGAGAACTGCTTGAACCAAGGAGACAGAGGTTGCCATAAACCGAGATTGCGCCACTGCACTCCAGCCTGGGCAACAAAGTGAGACTCCATCTCAATAAAATAAAATAAAAATGAAAATGAAAATAAAAACTGGCCAGGTGTGGTGGCTCACACCTGTTATTCCATCACTTTGGGAAGTTGAGGGGGTGGATCAGTTGAGCCCAGGAGTTCAAGATCAGCCTGGGCTACATAGAAAACCCTCATATGTACAAAAAATACAAATTAGCTAGGGGTAGTGGCACCCACCTCCCAGCTACTCGGGAGGTTGAGATAGGAGGATGGCTTGAGCCCAGGAGGTGGAGGTTGCAATAGGCAGAGATCATGCCACTGCACACCAGCCTGGGTGATAGAGTGAGACCCTATCTCAAAAAATAAATAAATTTAAAAAACTAACCATCTTTACTATAAGACAGAGAAATATAAATTAAAACAATTAAGAGATGCTGTTTTTTACTTATCAAATTTGCAAAGTAAAAAACAATTAACAACACATGCTTCAGAGTGCAAGTAAGATGAGAACTCTCCAGCAGGTGCCGCTGGTAGGCAGTAGATGGTTCTCCCTTCCACACAGTGAAAAGGCCTAAAAATGGCCGGGTGTGGTGGCTCACGCCTGTAATCCCGGCACTTTGGGAGGCCAATGCAGGTGGATCACTTGCCAGAAGTTCGAGACCAGCCTGGCCGATATGGTGAAACCCCGTTTCTACTAAAAATACAAAAATTAGCCAGGCGTGGTGGCACATGCCTATAATCACAGCTACTCGGGAGGCTGAGACATGAGAATTGCTTGAACCTGAGATCATGCCACTGCACTCCAACCTGGGCAACAGAGCAAGACTCTGTCTCAAGGAGAAAAAAAAAAGAGAGAGAATCTGAAAATGTGAGCATTGGGAACCCCCATCTGGAATCCATCTTAAGGAAATAACCAGAATTCTGGACAAAGACATATACTTAAAGCTGTTCATCAGGACATCATTATAAAGAAAAAACATAGTAACAACCAGAAGATTGCCATTAGGAACATGAGTGAGTAAATTATGTTACCAACATAGGATTGAAATATTATGCAGCCACTAAAAATTGTACTTATAAATTTTTTATGACATGAGGAAATTATAACAACATAGTTTTTAGCCAAAAAAGGAGGAAGATATATAGATGAATAGATACACACACATACACATATAGATATTATAAAGTAGGACCTAATTAGGTTAGAAAAAAAAAAACCCAGGCTGGGCACGGTGGTTCACGCCTGTAGTCCCAGCACTTTGGGAGGCTGAGGTGGGCGGATCACGAGGTCAGGAGATTGAGACCATCCTGGCTAACACGGTGAAAACCCATCTCTACTAAAAATACAAAAACAAAATTAGCCGGACATGGTGGTGGGTACCTGTAGTCCCAGCTACTCGGGAGGCTGTGGCAGGAGAATGGCATGAACCCGGGAGGCGGAGCTTGCAGTGAGCCGAGGTGGCGCCACTGCACTCCAGCCTGGGCAACAGAGTGAGACTCCATCTCAAGAAAAAACAAAACAAAACAAAAAAACACATAGAAAAGTGACTGGAAGGAAATATGCCAGTGGTTTCCTTAAGTAGTGAGATAATAAGCATTTCCCCACCGCTACTTTAAACTTTTCTGTTTTACATACATTCCTCTTTTTTTTTTTGAGACAAAGTCTCCCTCTGTTGCCTAGGCTGGAGTGCAATGGCATGATCTTGGCTCACTGTGACCCCTGCCTCCCGGGTTCAAGCTATTCTCCCACCTCAGCCTCCCGAGTAGCTGGGATTACAGGTGTGCACCACCACTTCTGGCTAATTTTTGTATTTCTAGTAGAGATGGGGTTTCACCATGTTGGCTACACTGGTTAGTTCTTGCTTCCACACAGTGAAAAGGTGGTACGAATCAAGAACCTAAAAATGGCCGGGCTGACCTCAGTGATCTGCCCTTAAGTGATCTGCCCACCTCAACCTCCCGAAGTGCTGAGATTTACAGTGGTGAGCCACCGCGCCTCGCCAGTGTTTTACATACTTTTTGTAAGAATATATGTCATTTTTATTATCAGAGAAAAGTCTATAAATAGAAAAAGATAAAATATTTCTAAAGGGCTTGGCCCTATGTGGGTGTGCTACGTGACACACAAACTGTAAAAGGCTCTGAAGTCAGAGGTATTTATTGGTGCTAAAGGTAAAGGAGCAGCAACATGGCTCTTTATCCAAGAGCTGCACCTGTGGTCAGGACCAGTTCTACCTCTGACTGTGTAGCCTAGGACAAATGCCTGAGCTTCTTGGACCCCCAGTTTTTCCATCTGGATAAGGAGAGTTGGTACACATAGCAAGCTCCCCCAGCTCCGGAAATCCAGAATCTAGAATGCTGTGACCTCTTACCACATTTGGGTTGAAGGGTGGAGTTAGCCTCTTGTGGTACAGGTCATCCCAGTTTATAGGGCTGAAGAATACATGGTTCTTAATCTCCAGCTGCAGGAAGTGCAGAAAAAAGGTGCTAGTTAGAAGTAGCCCTCCCCATGGGTGTTCTCACCTCACTCCCACATCCTCCAGAGCTCCACCAGCAACTGGCTGTCAACTGGAAATTAACTTGCAGTTCTGGCCGGTTTCCTGGGACAAGAGAGTTTTGTAGCCAACCCTCTCCCATCATCCAGATCCAAACCCTTCTCCCCACTACAGCATCTGTTTATTCCAAAACTATTTACTGAGCATCTTCTCTGGGCACCGACCCCTTGCTAGGCTTTGGGGGTGTCAGTGAATAAGACAGCAGAATCTGCTCTAGGGGTGGGGAAGTGCCAGTGGGAGCTTGGGGACCCCTCCCCTCACTCTGCTTCAGTACATCTTGAGTTTTCCAGTATGCAAAGAAGAGAAATAGACTAAATCAACTCACTAGGGAAGGCTTGAAAAATAAAGCCCCCAAGAAGATCTTCGGATTCCCAGACAACCAGATTTTAGGACTCAGCCCTGGTCATGATTCACCACCTTTCCTAATCAAAATCAACATTGGCACCAACTTCTTTCCATCACATCCTCTATCTGTGTTTCTCAAATAATCATTCTCCACCTCCCTATATCAGGAACCCCAGTGGGCTGGTTAACAACTCAGATCCAATATATCTCCATAAGAGGCTGGGTGCGGTGGCTCATGCCTGTAGTCCCAGCACTTTGGGAGGCCAAGGTGGGTGGATCACCTGAGGTCAGGAGTTCATGACCAACCTGGCCAACATGGTGAAACCCCGTCTCTACAAAAATAGAAAAATTAGCCAGGCGTAGTGGTGTGTGCCTATAATCCTAGCTACCTGGGAGGCTGAGGCAGGAGAATCGCTTGAACCCAGGAGGCAGAGGTTGCAGTGAGCCGAGATCATGCCACTGCATTCCAGTCTGGGCGACAGAGCAAGACTCTGTCTCAAAATAAAAATAAATAAAGCCTCCAAAAGAATACCCGAGAAATTGGTAACACTGGTTGCCTCTGAATTGAGGAACTAGGTGGCTGGAAGGACTTTTTCTGGATACTCTTTTGTACCCTTTGAATTTTGATCTATGTGAATGTATAACTTTTTTTTTTTTTTTTTTGAGACGGAGTCTCGCTCTATCACCCAGGCTGTAGTGCCGTGGCCGGATCTCAGCTCACTGCAAGCTCCGCCTCCCGAGTTCACGCCATTCTCCTGCCTCAGCCTCCCGAGTAGCTGGGACTACAGGCGCCCGCCACCTCGCCTGGCTAGTTTTTTTGTATTTTTTTAGGAGAGACGGGGTTTCACCGTGTTAGCCAGGATGGTCTCGATCTCCTGACCTCGTGATCTGCCCGTCTCGGCCTCCCAAACTGCTGGGATTACAGGCTTGAGCCACCGCGCCCGGCCTGTATAACTTATTTTAAGAGTCATACTTTTTTTTTTAAAGATGCAAATTTTTGCTTGGAACAGGAGACTTATCTTCATGGAAACCCCTGTTCTTTAAGCTGGCCAGGAGTAGGCAGCAGATGCCCTAAATGTTGTTATAATTTACAGTAACTGAAATGTAAAACTTTTGGTACAAACACTTAAAAAGCACTTACTGTGCGCCAGACACTGCTGAGAGCACTTTGCATACATTAATACTAATCAATTTGATCTTCAAAACAGCTATGTTAGGTATTACAGTGGGGAAACTGCGGCTCACAGAGAGAAATTAAGCAACACATCTGAGGTCCTGTAACCAGTAAGTGGTGAAGGAGGGATCTGAACCCAAGTAGTCTGCCTCATAGTCCATTCTTTTTTTTTTTTTTTTTTTTTTTTTTGAGATAGAGTCTCACTCTGTTGCCGAGGCTGGAGTGTAGTGGCACCCATCTCAGCTCACTGCAACCTCCACCCACCCCCAGGTTCAAGCAATTCTCGTGTCTCAGCCTCCTGAGTAGCTGGGATTACAGGCGCCCACCACCACGCCCGGCTAATTTTTGTACTTTTAGTAGAGACCGGGTTTCACCATGTTGGCCAGGCTGGTCTCGAACTCCTGACCTCAGGTGATCTGCCCGTCTTGGCCTCCCAAAGTGGTGGGATTACAGGTGTGAGCCACTGCACTTGGCCTAGTCCATTCATCTTAACCACTGTGTTAGAAAAGAAAGCAAACTCCTGGTGAGAAAAGTATTGTGGCCTTCTTTTTGTAAATCCAAATTATCTTGTGTTGAATTTAAAAAGTAGGATTATTTTTAAAGTGCCACTTTAATGAATGAATATAATGAATTTGCTAAGAATGGACTATGAATCATTTATCCCTATATCCCATTTGCCCAGCCTGGGGTCTGGCAAGGAAGAAGTGCTCAGATATTTGTAAAAAGCAAGTGCTGGCTGGGCGCAGTGGCTCATGCCTGTAATCCCAGCACTTTGGGAGGCTGAGGCGGGCAGATCACTTGAGGTCAGGTGTTCGAGACCAGCCTAGCCAACATGGTGAAACCTCGTCTCTACTAAAAAAATTACAAAAATTAGCCAGGCATGGTGGCGGATGCCTGTAGTCCCAGCTACTCAGTAGGCTGAGGCGTTAGAATTGCTTGAACCTGGGAGGTGGAAGTTGCAGTGAGTCGAGATCACACCACTGCACTCCAGCCTGGGCGACAGAGCCAGACTCAGTCTCAAAAAAAAAAAAAAGGCCAGGCATGGTGGCTCACGCCTGTAATCCCAGCACTTTGGGAGGCCGAGGCGGGCAGATCATGAGGTCAAAAGATCGAGACCATCTGGCCAACATGGTAAAACCCCATCTCTACTAAAAATACAAAAATGAGCTGGGCGTGGTGGTATGTGCCTGTAGTCCCAGCTACTCTGGAGGCTGAGGCAGGAGAATCTCTTGAACTCGGGAGGTGGAGGTTGCAGTGAACTGAGATTGCACCACTGCACTCCAGCGTGGCAACACAGCGAGACTCCGACTCAAGAAAAAAAAAGCAAATGCAGTCCACCCTCCACAAAGAAGCCAGAGGAATCTTCTATAAACTTAAATCAGGTCATGCCACACCTCTGCTCAAAACACCCTAAAACTTGCCACTCTCCTCCTTGTTCCCATAGCAGGACTTCTGCACATGCTGTGCCCTGTGTCTGGGGAGCCTTTGCCCAGCTGTCTTCATGGCTGCCTCTTTCTCATCCTTCAAGCCTCAGCTTAATTGTCACCCCCTCAGAGAGAACTCCCTGACAATGCCAGTATTAATTTGCTCCCCTCCCATTATTGTTTATCTCAGCTCATTGTTCATTTTCTTCCTGACATTTGTCATATCTTGTGATAATTGTATATAATGTTTGGGTTTTTTGCCTACCCCCAACCCCAGACTTTTTGTTTTTGTTTTTGAGATGGATTTCTGCTTGTTGCCCCGGCTGGAGTGCAATGGCATGATCTCAGTTCACTGCAACCTCCGCCTCCTACGTTCAAGTGATTCTCCTGCCTTAGCCTCCCAAGTAGCCAAGATTACAGGTGCCCACCACCACGCCCAGATAATTTTTGGTATGTTTAGTAGAGGTGGGGTTTATAACATGTTGGCCAGGCTGGTCTCAAACTTCTGACTTCAGGTGATTCACTTGCTCTGGTCTCCCAAAGTGCTGGGATTACAGGCATGAACGCTGCACCCGGCCCCCACCCCAAACTTAATAAGGGCAGAGACCCAGTCTATTGAATCCCTAACACCTAGCTCAATACCTGGCACATAGTTGGTGCTTAGTAAATATTGATTGACTAAGAGAACTAGACTAGAGAAAGCAGTCAGTTAGTAGCAGTAGTGAATTTCCAAATGAACAAGTGAGCAGTGCCTGGTTTTAGAGGGCAGCGGGATGCATGTTAATGTGCTTCTGAGCTGCCTCTGCAGGAAGCTGCGAGCCCCTTGGGGGCCAGTGCTCCACTGGCAGGTCACCTACAAAGTCTGCTTTGGAGCCCAGCCGCTGCCTCTGGTCCTTGTGGAGAAGGCTTTGCAGGAGGTCACAGGCGGCCACCGTCCGGCCCCCAGGGATCTGTAGCGGCTGGTGCAGAATGTTCTCATACATCTGGGACACGTCTTGGCTGTAGAAGGGCGGCTGGGGAGAGAGGGAGAGCAACTGGAGGATCACCCATGCAAAAGTGAACACAGGCTCCGGGAGACTTGGAGCAAGGTGGGCGGCTGGGAGGACTCAGCATGACCCCCGTCTTGTGCAATGGCTCGCATGGCAGACTGGAAAGAGACAGGACTCCAGGTTTCCAGCACAATGGAGAGAGTTGCTAGGAAGGCCAGAAGCCTCTTCCCACCAGTGTGAGGCCCATCTCTTTTCATCTAGCTTGCTCACCAACTTTGCATTTGGCAACATTTGCACTTTCACCTTCATCATTTCACCCCAGTCTCATAACTATCCTCCAAGAGAGCTGTAATTTTTCAGATAAGAAAACAAGACTCAGAGCAATTATGCTGCAGTTAGGAAGAGAGCCAGGCCCCAAACCATATCCAGGGTCCCCTTCTCTTTCTTACTATTCTTCCTCCCAAGCCTCTTCCAGCTGTTCCTTCCCCTTAATCCACAGAGTCTGTTCCTTCCTAGGAACCAAGCTATGTTGGTGAAACCACCCCCAAAGCAAAGCATGGCCTAGGGCAAATCTACACATGCCTCTACCTAAGCAGGCAGCCTAGGACTGGGGCCAGGGGTGGTTCCACAGCCTATCAGGACTGTGATCTCTCTTGGTCTCCATTTCCCTATCAGCAAAATATGAATAATTCCATTTCCTTCTGTCAGTCTCCAAAGGCTATTTTGAGGCACCCAAGGTGAGACAGTGTGTTGTAAACAATAAAGTGCTAAACTAACTTTTTTTTTTTTTTTTTTTTTTTTGAGACAGAGTCTCCCTCTGTCACCCAGACTGGATGTGCGGTGGTGCGATCTCGGTTCACTGCAGCCTCTGCCTCTCAAGTTCAAGTGATTCTTCTGCCTCAGCCTCCCGAGTAACTGGGATTATAGGTGCTCGCCACCATGCCCAGCTAATTTTTGTATTTTTAGTAGAGATGGGGTTTCAGCATGTTAACCAGGCTGGTCTTAAACTCCTGACCTCAGGTGATCCACCTGCCTCAGCCTCCCAAAGTGCTGGGATTATGGGTATGAGCCACCGCCCCTGGCCTAAACTAACATTATTGGGAAAAAAAAATAATTCGCATATCTGCTTTGGCGTTATCTTTTTTAGTCTGGAATGGAGAGATGGCTTGCTCATTTTCCTGGGCAGAGCTTGTGTAGACCACATGAGAGATAGACCCATCGCTAGCCAGATGGCCCTTGTAGATGGCTACCCCCAACTTACCAGGCCGTGCAGCATCTCGTAGAGGACTGCCCCCAAGCACCACCAGTCTACCGCCCGATCATAAGGCTCCTTCCGAAGCACTTCAGGTGCCAAGTACTGTCAGAAGGAAACACACTTATCTGAATGAAATAAGTTGTTAAGCCTCAGTTGCCGCATCTGTAAATAAGGCACTTGGAGGAAGATGACCAAGAGCTGACCCTGCTGTGCGTGTGCTCTGTGGCTGTGCATGTGTTCATTCATCAGTCATTCACCAAAGGCCTGCTTTCTGCAGGGCCCTTTGCCACGGGTTGGGGACGCAGAAGAGGTCAGCCAGGGCTGCTTTGTGCAATTTACATGGTGTGTACCACACAAAAGCATCAGCCAAAAGGGTAAAGGGGGCTGCAGTCATGGCTGTGATCCACTCACCAAGCCACAACACTATTTCAGAGGTATTATCTGTCAACTTTATTTTTGTTTCAAGGGGTGCTTTTTCTAATTAGTCTGCCCGGAGGGGATGCCTTTTTCTATTTATGTGAAGGCATTCAGCGGGCTATGGTGTCCTGGGAATGGAAGGCCCTGGGAGTACGCTCACAGGGCAGTGTGGAGACAAATGTGAGTGTAAGTAAAAGTAAATGTGGTATATCCTTGTGCTGGAAACCCTAGGGTCAGACGAGAGGGTCAGGAAGGAGGGGGTGATCCCTGAGCTACTGATAAATAAATGCACACCATGCCTGTATGCCTTGCCTGAGGAAGAGAACCTGGGAACAAAAAAAAAGAGGCTTACTGATTTCTTAGCCTAGTGTCTCTGCCACTGAGTCAGGGGCAAGTTCTCAGCAACAGGAAAAGCTGCTCTGAGAGACTGTGTGGGTCTAGGAAGGGCAGAGTCACACAGACCTGAGCCCCGGTTGGTGTATGGTCTCAGCCAGGGCATTTAACCTCTCAGAACCTGGTTTTCTCATTGAAAAAATGAAGATGCCAAATCCCTCCTAGACGCTGTTCTAAGATGCTAACATATGTGCTGGCCCTCGAACAATAGGAGCAACCATGGCTACTCTTGCCTGTGCCCCCCAACACTGTGGAAGTGGCTGAGTCATGGTTAGGTGATGTGTTGGGGCCACATGTCTCCTACATGAGCTGGGGTTCCACATCCTTTGCTCCTGTCCCTAGCAACGTTCAAGGAAGGATGGCTGGACTGCCAGGCTTTGGGGGCTGGCTTTATCCAGCAAACACCACCCGCCATACACAAACACAGACAATGGCTCCTGCTCAGAGAGGTCATCTGACCATCAGCTACCCTAGAACCAAAGTGAGGAGGCCATTAGATCCAAGACCCAACTTTTCAAGCATATGGAGAAAAAGAGAGCAGCTGAGGTCTTGTCTCATGCCAGGTGGGGAGGAGCCTCCCAGTCTGTAGCCTCGGCCCTCCAACCCTCACCCTGACATCTGTCTAGCCACTGGGGACCCCTTCAGGCCCAAGGTCCAAGGTCTAATATTGGTGGGAGTTCAAAGAAAGGTTTTTTTGTTTGTTTGTTTGTTTTTGAGACAAAGTCTTGCTCTTGTCCCCCAGGCTGGAGTGCAACGGCGCGATCTCGGCTCACTGCAACCTCTGCCTCCCAGGTTCAAGCAACTCTCCTGCCTCAGCCTCCCAAATAGCTGGAATTACAGGTGCCTGTCACCACGCCTGGCTAATTTTTGTGTTTTTAGTAGAGACAGTGTTTCGCCATGTTGGCCAGGCTGGTGTCGAACTCCTGACCTCAGGTCATCCGCCCACCTCAGCCTCCCAAAGTGCTGGGATTACAGGCGTGAGCCACCGCGCCTGGCCTGCGTTTCTATTTCTATTTCTACTGGATAGCACTGCGGTAGAGCTTCACTAGTGGCTAGCTGGCTGGGTCTCAGCAGTCCTAGAGCTGGTGCCTCCATTACACAGATGAGGAAACCAAGGTTCAGTGTACAGCCAACTCAGGAGAAGTGCTTGGGTCAAAGGAGTGAGCCCCCTTTGCTGTAACTTGTTGGCTGTAATCAGGAGCTGTGGCCTTACCCACTCATGACCTCCACTCTCCTGGGATGTTTACGCTTACCTCGGGGGTACCACAGAACGTGGATGTGGTCTCTTCAGGCTCTACACCTTCCTTGCAGAGGCCAAAATCCGTCAGCACCACGTGTCCCTGAGAATGAGGGAGGGCATGGGCCGGAGGGTGGTATGAGGGTGGCCAAGGGTATGGCCAGGCCTAACCCCAAAGTCCAGATGTCACACCTCAGGGCAGCAGCTGTGGGATCTGATGCCCAGGCACAGACTGGAGGCTCCACACCAACCCAGGGGTCCTGGACTGGATGCCGGCAACATCACAGGGGCCAGGTGGGCACATGTGTTCCACTCTCTGCCCACAGCTCATCACAAACTCAGACCCACCCCTACAACAGTGGCAGCTTCAGGATGCCCTTGTGGACAGAAACCCCCTAGACAGAGGCTGGGGACTCAGAAAGCAACCACACTTTGTGGCAGCTGGGCAGGAAAGTAGAGTGAGTAGATACTGTGGGGTTCTGCCCGGATCCCTGAAACCAGCGTACAGAAGAACCATGCCTATCCCCATCCCCCTGCTGCTAGAACATTGCCCGCACCCAAAGTTATGCCCCCTCCTTAGGAGCAATCCATGTCCAGGGGCACAAAGGCCCATCCTCTTTGCCTCACTTTGGGACAATCCTAGAGAGCCATCCTGGCTTAGGCCCTCCCCACCCCTGCAAGATCAGCTGAGGCTCCACTGGCAACCACAACGCAGGTGAGCTTCTTCCTTTGCCCAATCCTGTTTTTTCACCCTTTAAAAGTGTTATCTCTTGAGAATGTTCCTCAACGAAGCTTCTGCCTCCTCTCCATCTCAGAGTCTGTTTCCATGGAGCCCAGTCTAAGACAAACTCCACCAGCCCCTGCCTGGCTCCACCCCTGCCCCTTGTATACACGCATGCACATATATACATGTACAGTCTCACGTGCACATATGCATGTGTGTACATGCGCATGGGCACACACGCACACATATGCTCAAATGCCTCCCCTACCTATATGCATGCATGTACAATGCATGCACATCCATGCACACAGACTCATGGTCAGATAGTGTACCTGTGCAACCACGTCCACACGCACACGTGCACACACGCACACACACACACACGCGCGCACACACACACACACCAACCTGGCAGTCCAAGAGAATGTTCTCTGGTTTCAGGTCCCTGCAGAAAATAAGAGAAAAGAGCCTTGAGGTGTCTCAGTCGTTTAGTGAGGAGAGTTGGAGACCTGGTGGTGGGGTGGTCCTGGCAGGAGAACTATTCATGGAGGATCCCAGAGACGCAGAGGGAGAGCCCAGGAAATCTGGGCACTTGGACCTCAGAGGAGGAGACTCCAACCCCACCCAAAACAAAGGACCAACTCCACCAGGATTTCATCAGGTTTTAGGGTCCACACAACCCCTAGCTGTTGGAGCAAGAAGGACCTGGTCCTGGCTCTGAGCCACAGGCAGGCCTCACCTGTAAATGATGTTGAGGGAGTGCAGGTAGCCAATGGCGCTGGCCACCTCGGCAGCGTAGAACCTGGCCCGGGGCTCCAGGAACCGGCGCTCCCGCTGCAGGTGGAAGAAGAGCTGGAGGGGAGGAGGAGTGTGAGAGGAGTTACTGGGTGGCTACTGTAGGGCTAGGGCGCACCTGCTCCCTGCCCTGTGCGGCTGCCCAGCTCACTCCCTCTCTGACCTGCAGCATCTTCCTACCAAAAGAGTTCATGCCGACCCTTGCCCCACACAGCAGACCTGGGTGTCCAAAGAGTCAGCAGAAGAAGAGATGAGTTAGCATTGCTTAAGCACCTCCTGTGTTCCAGGCTCCAAGTCAGGCCTTTCCACATCTCTTATTTAATCCTCATGACAACCTTCAAGGTACAAATGTCATGCTAGTTCCATGTAAGAGGAAGCTAGGAAGGGTCAGAATGGTTAGGCGACTTGCCCAAGGTCATGTAGCTTATAATGGGCAGAGCTGGCATTTGAACCTGCGTGGTTCAAAGATATGCTTTTCCATCAATCCAGGCGATGAGATGATATGGCTGTCAGACTGAGCCCAGGTTAGATCCACCCATGGGCCAATGTTTTTAGACTATTTTGCTGGCATGAAAAGCCCTTCACTTAGGGATGCAGGACAAAACCCCCCCTCTTGGCATCATTCTGAAAGGCATGAGGTCACTCAGGTTAAATCTGGGGTCACTGAGTAGAGCCCCACTACACTGTGCCACCTTTTTTTTTAGGGACAGAGTCTCGCTCTGTCGCCCAGGCTGGAGTGCAGTGGCCGGATCTCAGCTCACTGCAAGCTCCGCCTCCTGGGTTCACGCCATTCTCCTGCCTCAGCCTCCTGAGTAGCTGGGACTACAGGCGCCCGCCACCTCGCCCGGCTAGTTTTTTGTATTTTTTAGTAGAGACGGGGTTTCACCGTGTTAGCCAGGATGGTCTCGATCTCCTGACCCCGTGATCCACCCGCCTTGGCCTCCCAAAGTGCTGGGATTACAGGCGTGAGCCACTGCGCCCGGCCCATTTTGCCATCTTGACCAGAGAGACAGAGTGAAGCCCAGGAGGGAGCCCCGCTTGTCCAGCTGTGCTTCTGGGTCACCAGGTGGCCTCAGGTCTCTGTTTACCAGAGTGACGAGTCAATCCCATCCTGTGCCCTATGGGGCAAAATGGGAGCACTGGAAACCTTGACCATGAGTTCCTCTTAGCATTGACCTTTCCTGGGTCTATCAAAGTGTGTCCGTGGGCAACTCTGAATGAGGAAGGCAAGAAAGCATTATGGTGGGCAGTCTAACAGACGTGAATTCAAGTCCTGACTCTATCAGGTATGGGCTGGGTGGCCTTGAGCAAATGATTACCTCCCTGAACCTCAGTTTCTTCAGCTACAAAATGGGTCTATTGTAAGATGAGGTGAGATCATTCCAGAACTTGGCATGCAGTGGGCATGCGGGATAGACAGCTCCCAGCCAACAGCCCGCCCAGGGAAGCCTCCCTGTGGGCCCACCCACCTCTCCCCCGTTGACATAGTCAAGCACAAAGTAGAGCTTCTCAGGTGTCTGGAAGGAGTAGCGCAGGCCCACGAGGAAGGGGTGCCGCACATTCTTCAGAAGTACACTGCGCTCTGCCATGATGTGACTCTGCTGTGGAGTCACAAAGAGAGGGGTCCATGTCACAGCCCACAACCACCCCTTTTATCCCGGCACAGCCCATACAAGCTTGTGGGTGGGAGTCATCCTACTCAGGACTTTCTCATGCCTCTGCTCAAACACCCACAATGGCTCCCTATTGCCCTCAGAGCCAGGCCCAAGTCCCTTGCTTAGTATTCAGGGCTCAGGGTGGTCAGCCTCATCCTAAGCTAGTCCATGTGGGCACAGCTCTAGCCCCTGGATCAGAGCTTCTTGCCCCTGGAGTGAAAAGCAAAGCATGTGTGATGCCTCACATAAATGAGTTCCTAAGGGAAAGAAGCCACGCACTATCCACGGTCACACATTTGCTCGTGATATTTCCTCTTCTTGGATGTCGCACCCTCTTTTCAGACCATCAGAATCCCACCATCAAGGCCAGCTGCACCGCTGCCTTCCTCAGGAAAACCTCCCATTCTCACTCCCTACAGAGACCTTGTTAACATTAATCACTCTTTTCTCTGAGTCCCCTGATCTCCTATGCAATCCTCCCTCTGGGCCTGCTCTGGCCTACTAATGGAGTCAGGTGTTAAAGGAACTTAGGTCAGCTGAGGCATCAAGAAATCCACGATGGGACTGAGTGTGGTAGCTCATGCCTGTAATCCCAGCACTTTGGGAGGCTGAGGCCAGTGGATCTCTTGAGGCCAGGAGCCTGACCAACTTGGCAAAACTCCATCTCTACTAAAAATACAAAAATTAGCCAGGAGTGGTGGCAGGTGCCTTTAATCTCAGCTACTCAGGAGGCTGAGGCACGAGATCACTTGAACCCAGGAGGTGGAGGTTGCAGTGAGCTGAGATCATGCCATTGCGCTCCAGCCTGGATGACAGAACAAGACTCTGTCTCAACAACACAAAAAGAAGTCCATGATGTGCTGCGCATGTAGCTCATGCCTCTAATCCCAGCACTTTGGGAGGCTGAGGCGGGAGGATTGCTTGAGCCCAGGAGTTTGAGGCTGCAGTGAGCTGTGATTGCACTAGTGCACTCCAGTCACATGGCCTGATGGCATGAAGGCCTTCAGAGAGAAGAAAGTGAGGCTCCACATTGTACAGATGGGAAGCCTGGCACTGGGAACGGGCAGAAGACTTGTCCGTCGTGGAGCCTGCGTTTCCCAGGGGAAGGCAAAGCCAGGCTGGTTTTCCTGAAAGCCTGTGGTGAGGTGGCTCGGCCTGTTTTCTTTGAGAAGGACCAGCATCCTGCATACCATCTGCCCTCTACCCTTTGTTGTGACCACCTCTGCACCCAGCCCCATGGACCTGTCAGAGGTGGGACCCATCTTTGAAAGCCACCCTAGGCTGGGGTTTGAGAAGCAGAAGAAGAAACGCCTGTGCCCGAGCCCTGGTACCTCTTTCTTCTTTAAGATGGACTTTTTCTGCAGCACCTTCACTGCATAGAACGTCCCATCAGACTTGCGCTTGGCCAGCAGGACCTGAGCAGAAACACGAATTTGAGGCCCTGTAGGTGACTTTGGACTTCCCAACAGCAGTACGAGGCCTCCCGCCTGCCCCTGCTTTTGTCTGCAGGTACGAGAGCTCTCTCTTCACACATACAAGTGGCAGCAGGGGCTGAAAGAGGCTGCAGAAGGGAAGACCCAGGCTTCCCAGCCTCACCAAGTCACTCACCTTCCCATAGTTCCCTTTGCCGATGACTTTGAGGAAGTCGAAGTCCGTGGGCCGGGCACTGGGGGAAGACGGAAAACCATGCATCAGCATTTGCAGGTCTGGACAGCTGGTGCCTGAGAACAAACCTGGGCTTCTTTTTAACTTTAGAGTGGGGAAATACAGAGAGCCTTCCAGCAGCCATGCCTCCTCACCCCCGAAGAATGCCATGTTCTCCCAGCCGAGAGAGGGCTTGTAAGATTCACCCTGGCCCCAGGGGAGCTCAAATTCAAGTTAAACAATAGGCAGAGTGGAGATAAAACCAGACACACTGCACAGAAGGCCTGCATAGAAGGCAGGGTTCTGGTACCCAAAGCCCCTGAGTAGGGCCTGAAGTGTGGGGAGTTGCTAACAATGCAGACATTTCGGGGGCATTGCTGGAAGAGGGTTCAGCATGGGCAGAGGCTGCTGGGGAATTCGTGGGAGACAAAGCTGGGGAAAGGTCCTGGGCCCAGATGGCAGAGAGTATTGAATATTAGACCAGATAATTTGAATTTTATTCCCAAGGCAAGGGGAGCCAGGTATGAGGAGAGTCAAGTAGGAACGGTGCTTGAGGGACCAGAACTCACTTTGGGTTGGCTGAAGGCCCCAGGTTGATGTTCCCATTGGCCTTGGAGGGCTAAAGAAAGAAGTGATTACGATCAGCAGATCCCTGCTCCCTGGCTACCTCCCTTTCTCCTAGCCCAGGCCCTGATCCCTTCTCCAACAACTCTACTAGGCCCGCCTGCCTTTTTCTTTTTTTTGCCTGCCCACCTGCCCGCCTCCTTGCCTCCCTCCCTCCTTCTACACACCCACCAATCCACTTATCCACCGTCTTACCCGCTTCTCAAAACAGCCTTGGGAGGCAGCTGGCTGTTGTGCTAACTGAATAGGTGAGGAAACTGAGGCCCAGAGAGGAGTTGCCCAGGGTCTCACAGGCAACCAGGTTGGGATAGAAGCCAGGTGTCTTCATGACAAATCCCATGATTTTTCCAGTCCATCGTGAAGCCCTATTTCAAACCTCTCCTCTATTCACCTTGCAAGTGGCTCATTTCTGTGTGCTCGCAGTGATCCTCTGAGCCCCTGACATTGTCTGGGACAGCCCATGGGGCTACTGGGTGTCTCCACAGATTTCCTTAGCCTCAGGAGGAAGTGAGCGCCCTGATGATGAGTAGGGGACCAAGAACCACTCACCTGTGGACTGGTGGTCCCAGCTGGGTTAGAGTTCATTCTGTAGCAATGATCAGGCAGCTCTGGGGGGACAGGGAGGAGCAGGCATGAGAGAGCTGGTGTTGCGGGGTCAGCTCCACCCATCCAGGGCTTCAGGCACCACTGCCCTCTCCATCCTCCCCTACCTGTGCACCTGCCCCCGCCTGAGGGTTTCCTACCCCAGAGGCAAGCAACCCCTGCATGGATGGAACAAACAATGATATTCCCCGGACCTAGACTTTCTAACAAACATCTCAGAAGGGATAAAGGGGGATAGTCAGAGTGTGGCCCCTCCCAGGCTGATTCTTTTCAAGAATTGGGGATACCCAGGGCAGCAAGAACCCTGTGAGCCAGGGTAGCCCCAGAAGTCCCAGATGGCCAGGGCTGGAAGGACCTTTTCAGGGCATAAAGTCTGAACCCTTCCCCCATTTCACAGGTGGAAGGCCTGGGGCCTAAGGAAGGACCTTCCTAAGTCCACACAGCCTTGTGAAGGCACAGGCTGGGCTCTCCGGACTCCCACGGAGGAACAATGGCAACCCGGAATTACTGTGCGCATTTCCAGCTGGGCTCTGTGCTACGATCTCCTCACCACAGGGAATTCTGCCCAACGCCTCAGGAAAGGCAACTGCCGTGGAAGCCCTGGGCTGGGGCCGCAGAGACACCCAAGACTGGCCAGTATCTATTCGGGGCCAAACAACAGAAGGTGTGACCAGCTGATCTGTGTGGCCAGGAATAGTGTCTTCCTTGTTCCACCCTGCAGAGGAGAGGAGGCCAGGGTGCCCAGGCCCCGCCACAGATCGCTTGGGGTCCCACAGCCTCATCCTTGCTTGGCAAAGGCTGAGAGCAGAGAGTTCACCTGAGAGGCCAGCTGCTGTGCATCTCAAGACCTTAGTCTTGGCCCACTGTGGGGCCTGGGCTGCAGCCCAGCCTCTCTGAGTAGAGATTTCCTATCTTTACAAGGCAGGTCCTGGAGGCACCAACCTCATGGCCTTCTTGGGAACAGAGAAAGTGAAGGGGAATTGAGAGGATCCCCCATCAGCCCCTCTCAGGGCTGCCCTGAGAGGCCCAGCCCTGCCAAGCCCTAAGAGCAAGCCGCAGAACTGCTAAGGAAGTGCAGCCTTGCCCCTAGCCAATGCCAGACGTGTGTGCTCCTGCAAACAGCCCACAACACTGCCACACCCTCTCTTGGGCTGACCCCAATGGCCCTTCTGCCAGGACTTGGCCTCCCTGGTCCCACATACCTGCGAGTCTGAGGAGAGGCCTCTAGGAGAACCAGCAGTTGGAACCGAAGACAGGCAGTGGACAAGAGAGCCTCTCTCTGTTCTCCCAACAAGGGCCTAAGTGTCTGTGCCCGGTGCCGGCCTGGCCCCAGCACAGAGCTCACAGCTCCCGGCAGCCGCGAGGGGGCTGGTTGATGTCACGAGGGATCCAGCAGAGCTTAAGATGGGACTGGAGACTTCTGTTCCCTGGGGGACACCGTCTTACCCTGGCGGGGATGGTGGGAGGGGTGGGCAGTAGCCCCAGGGGAGCCCTGGAGACCCTTGGGGCTTGTTAGACTGTGTGGGTCCCGGTGTGTGCGGCATGGTATGTACTGTGTGAGTGTTCTGTGCATTCCGTGCTTCCATGTGTGTCTGTCTGTGGCTCTGTATTTCAGGTATTTGTGTCCGTTTGTATGAGTCTGCGCAGATGATTGCATGTATGTGTCAGTGTGACCACAGTTGTACAATTACATCAGCGTATGTCTGTGCATCTGTGACTGTGTGTATCACTGTACCTCTCAGTGTGTGTGGTGTGTATATGGATGTGTTTCAGCGTGTCTCTGTGTAGTACATGTCAGTGTGTATCTTTGTATGTGAATGTGCTGTGTCAGTGTGTGTATGTGGGTGAGTGTGAGTCTGTGTGGATGTCTGAAGGTGTGTGTTCAGAGCAGTCTGGGCATCTATTAATATGTGTGTATAGGTAAGTCATTGTGTGTCTGTGTTCATATTGGTGTATATCAGTAAATTTACTCTGGGGTGTGTGTGTGTGTGTGTGTGTATGCGCGTGCATGCGTGCGTGTAGGGAGCCTGTGTATATGAACCCTGTGAAGACCATCTGGAGCTGAAGAAGAGGTCCCACAGAGGTCAGCCATGGCAGCTGAGACCCCTTCACCTCCCAAAAACCTGCAGATGTTTCAGAGGAAGGAACCTGGAGCCTGGGTGTCTAGCTCAGTCCAGGCTGCCTTGGTCTTTGCTGAGCACTTGGTCCTTTGGGCCTTTCCCTGCGGTCCCCTCAAGGGCTCTGGCCCAGTCCTCAGGGCAGGCCTGGTTGGCCCACAGCTGTCCTGCTGTGTAAGAAACGGTCCCAGAGAGCCCCCTGGCTCAGGAAGGCCTTGCTTCCTGGGGCAGTCATTAGGTACTCACAGGGTCCCTTCCTCTCCCCAGGACCCGAGGGGTGGGCAGGTGTTCTGGGGAATAAAGGAGTTGATGGGCCCACAGCCCCTGCCCTTCTCGAACTTTTTGTGTGGCTACAGTATACTACAGGGGAGGGACACATGGGGCTAGGGCCCAGAAAGTTGGTCAGGGATGGAACTGAGGCCTGTGGCCTCAGGGGTTCTCTGTGGGCTCTGAAATGCAGAGGATCTGGAAGTGTTGACCAGAGAAAACCTGAGTGCACAGTATCAAAGCCTTCCATCTTGAACAAAATAGAAATGTGGAACCAGTTCATGATGAGCAGGATGTCGTGTTGACAAAACACATACCCAGAACAAGGACATTTCTTTTTAAAAACAAGATCCTGATGTGGCCTTCATTCAGCAGCACTACTTATAACAGCAAAATAATTGTGCTAATAGTAACTTAAGTGTCCCACCACAGGGCACTTCAGAACACTTGCTGGCTGCAAGAGCTCCCTCTCTTGACCATACACCGTGTCCAGATACTGTCCCATTTCTTTGTACCCCTTTTCAGCTAAACTCCTCCGAAGGGTGGTCTGGACTCCTTGTCTCCACTCCTCTTCCTGTTCTCTTTTGAGCCCATTCCAAACAGGCTCTCATCCCAACACTTCAGTGAAACCGTGGACCAGTGACCTCTATGTGCCAAAGCCAGTGATGAGTTCCTCATCCTCATCTTACTCAACTTCTCTGAAGAATTTGGTGTGCTCACGTTCCCCATTTGGCTTCAGGAACTCTTGGTTTTCCTTCTAGCTCACTGACTGCTCTTCCTCCATCTCTCGTGCTGGATTTTCCTCCTTTTTTTATCCTTAAACATAGGCCTATCCCATGGCTTAGTCTTTGGGCCTCTGTCTACACATACTTGTTCTTTAGTTGATCCCTACCATTTTAATGGTTTAACCAACTATACTTGTCAGTTCCCAAATCTCTCTCTCTCGTTCTAATTCTCTTTCTTTCTTTTCTTTTCTTTTTTTTTTTTTTTTGAGACAGAGTCTTGATCTGTCACCCAGGCTAGAGTGCAGTGGCAGTATCTCAACTCATTGCAAACTCTGCCTCCCAGGTTCAAGTGGTACTCCCACCTCAGCCTCCCAAGTATCTGGGACTACAGGCCCCGCCACCATACCCGGCTAATTTTTGTATTTTTTTTAAGTAGAGATGGGGTTTCACCATGTTGGCCAGGCTGGTCTCGAACTCCTGACCTCAAGTGATGTGCCTGCCTCAGCCTCCCAAAGTGCTGGGATTACAGGTGTGAGCCACCACACCCAGCCTAGTTCTGATTCTTTCTTGAACTCTGTACTTAAATATTTAACTGCTTCCTTGACAATTCACTAGTTAGATGTCTAGAGGCATCTCAATCTTTTTTTTTTTTTT